AGCTGTCAGAAAATCCTCCAAAGTCCACCTGCACCTCTGGTTACATGCCTTAGAAGGCAGCCTGTGCTGCTCTGGCAGTGTCTAGATGAGCAATGTGGCTTGGAGGAACAGCATGCATTTGAAGCAAATCCCTCTCAGATTCTTCCACTTGCCTGACAGTGACTTGAGTCTGCAAGAGGTCTGACATGCCCATATCACTAGTGCAAACCAGAGCTCTGTTACTCTGCAGAGCTCTGCCTCTGCAAGAGGTCACATACGGCACAATCACTCCAGGGAAGCAAACCAAAATGAGAATTCACTTGCTCTGCAAATGAGTAAACGAGATTTCTGGGGACATCCAAATATAAAACGAAGAGTTTTTTAAAGTTCTGGATTACCACAATTATTTTAAGCTAGTTTATTTGGATTTGCTAACAGTAAACAGTCCACTGGCTGAATGAAGACCAAAGTAAAGCAGTATTTGAAAACTGTTTGGCACCAACCTACACTGCAATATCAGCCTTTTTTTTCCCCCCTTTGAATGAGCCGACACAGGTGTCTGTTGGCCAGTCTCAGGTTACATTATTAAGGGTTGTTTACACATACGCACAAATCAGATAAATTAGTAGCTGCATAGGGATGGGAGGGAGCCCTGTCTGCAACCCATGTCACACCTCAAAATGGTCAAGCCCCTGAAGTGGGAACATGAGAGTATGTAAAAACAGAATAGCAAAACAGCTTGAATAGGCCAAAATGCATTAGGCTTAGGAAAAAAAACAATATCCATTGTAAGCAAGAGGGGAAGGCTATGCTGGAGGCAGGAAAAAAGGTCAGTTAGTGATTAGACCACTAAAATGAGCAAGAAGTTGGAAATCAGACCTTGAGTTATGCCCCAAGCAGCTTTCTTGTTCAAACCTTTAATTCAGAGAAGATCCATGTTCCTTGGGCTCGTACATCAGTGAAACCAGCAGGTCAGATGCAGCATGGGCTGCAAAACCTGCTAGGAAAAACAGTCTGAATACTAAGATGCTTAGCCCACAGGGAGCTCAGGAAGCAGAATGTACCCCCTCAGGTGAAAAAAAAAGGCACACTGGATGCTCCCTTTCTGCACAGAGCTGAGCCAAGGATAAACATATTTCAGGGAAACAGAAAGAAATCTGGCAGCAGCTGGCCCATCACAGGCTGCCTGCAAAAGGTTAACTGCAAAAAGAAGCCAGAGCCTGGCCAGGCGCCAAGGCAAGCCTCAAGCTAAATTGAAGGTGGCCAGACAAGAGGCAGAGGCTGCAGTCTTCTCCCAGCTGAACAGCTCCAGTAACCCAGACTGCTGTGACCCATCCCCACAAATAGCTCCCAGAGGCACATCACAGGCCCCAGGATGTGACAGTGACATGCCATTTACAAGGTCTTGCTTAAACACAACTCCTCCAACAGGATTCATTTCTCTAAAATAGGTTCTGTATAAAAAACAATAAAATGTTTTTTAGCCATTCTGGTCTATACAGAAGGGAGCTTTTAACACAACTCTTCTCTGAACTGGGGGTAACTTATACAGGATCACTTTTATAGGTGTGTGTGCTTGCATATGATTTTTGGGGTGCTGAGCAGCTACTGACCCAGTTGATTTTGAGCTGTGTATTTGGTAAAGTTTGGGCCTCATTATTGAAGCAAACTGGATTTTCCTTCAGGTTATTACAGGGGTTATTATCAGCATATGAATTGTCAAGTTGTTGGATGAGAGCCAGTTCATTCGTCATTGACCAACATGCATTGTGGAGGTTTTTGAGCTGCAAGGACTTACTGTACTTATCATAGGCAGACATATGAGTTAATGCAAGAGAAACATAAATCCTCATCAATGCTCTGTGTGGTTGGCAGGGAACAGTTACCAACGTGACATCAAAATTAACATTTAGATATCAACAAAGCTATAAAGATGTCATACTGTCACAAAAGGAAGAACCACTAATAAATATGTAGAATGTTCCCCATTATGATTTTAAAACTTCTGTTAAAGAAAGAAAATCCCTTTTCATTTGCCTCATATTAATATATGCTCCAAGAGCTCCACTCTCATTATCTTTCCTCCTAACATTTGCAGGGGAGATGGAAATACTCGTAGCCTTATTTTGCAGGCATAGAACAGAAACACAGAGGGAGTGACTTGTCCATCCCAGCCTATTAGGAAAATAGAAATGAATCCAGATTATACAGGCTCTACTTTCTCTCCTAGGAAGTTTTGTGCTAACCCACAGGCCCAACCAAAATTATCTGTGTTGCATGCAACAGACTGAGCCCAGAGGTCTGCAAATCTGCAACCTTCATGGGGAGCTGTACAACATGAAGTGCCAAGTTATCCAGCTAAAAGAAACATGCCCACATGATGAGAGGCGTTCATCCTTCCCAGAGCAAGCAGCATGACCCAGCACTGAGGTTTTCACAAGCTCTGCGTAAACACAAGCACAGGAAGAACAAATGCAAACCACATTTCCGTAGAACTTTTCCCCATCCAAAGGGACCTTGGTTCCCAGCCCTGGGAAAACAGCTTAAAAAGAAGCACAGGCGCCAAACCCAAGAATCTAAGAGTCACCTTTGAAGACACAAAGACTGGTAACATTACTTTTAATATGTGAATTCATACAGAGGAGAAAGCAAGAAAGCAACAGAACAGAAAGACAGGCAAAGAGGAAATTTACTTTGGACCTAATCCTACAAACCTAATGCAATAGTCGCAGCTTTGTGTGCACTGCTCTTCACCTTGTCTTTGTTGTAACAGCTCAAAGGTCCTCCCACATCCAAAGGCAGACAGGCAGCCTTTCTCATCCACAGCACAGTTCCTGGGGTACAAGGGACTAGAATAAGGGTTAGGAGGAAAGCAGGCCACGCCGAATTGGAGGGAGAGAAGAGCAGCATCCTGTATCCCTGCTTCTCTCAAAGCCCCTCCACCACCCTAGTTTGGGGCTCTGTCACTTGGAGAAACTAGGCATCCAAACCTGCCCCATAAACCTGACTGCTCAGGCCACATCTAGCCATGGAAGATGCTCCAACCTGCAATCCTGTAGACTTGCCCAAAATCTACGCTTCCAGAACAGGCCCAGGAGGTACAGCATAACCCCAGACTGCAGCCCCACACAGGCAGGCTGCCCCTGCCTGCTCCAGAGGAAGTAAAACAAGCCACCCATACACCCTGTGGCCAGGCTTCATCAAAGCAATGTGGACAGGGGAATTCTGCCAGCATTGCTGGTGGACCAATATAGTCTCCAAACTGCAAACAGGTGGTGTTCAACACAAATAGCCCAGGCTGGATTTGAACTGGTGTCTGAGCCCAGGAAACTTCAAGTTTCATCCTCAGCCCCCTCAAAAAATTAATCCAGCAGGTATATACACAAGAACGGAAGATGAGTAAGTATGTTGAGTCCCTTGGCTAGTGTTTTTCTTCTGCTGTGCAGACTCTGCATGGTGTCTTATTTGCAAATGAAAAATGCTAGACCTGCTTACAAGACCTCCTATCCTCACATTCTTGTCAATGAACAGGATAACAAACGGTAGCATTACCCCCTCCCTTCAAGAGACCGTAAGGCCAAAAGAAAGGGAAAAACATTACATTGTGCAAAAGGAAGTAGTGAGAGAGAGATGGAGACCACCCAGCCCAGCCCCATGCCATTCCCTTTGTCTATCCCTCATTAATGATTTTACCACACTCCATCCAGCAGAGAGCAGTGTGACACAAGCACTGCTGGGCCAGCACTAGGAAAGGCCTGGTAGCCACAGCTGCCCTCTAAGAAGCCAGGACATGAGGGATCTCCACAGGAATCCAGATGAGGTTCAGCCTGGGTGCTATACTCTGTCATTCAAATAGTCAGACTCTAACTCAGTTTATTTCTCTGAGGCTAGATCAAAGTTACCCGAGCCATGTCAACTCATGTCAAGTGGTTATAAGAGCCATCTCTTCACCTTTGTTTTTTCTTCCCTGTGAGAGATTCTAATGAATAAGGAAATGAACAATGGGGGATACCCTGACCAAGCCATGCAAACTCAAATCAACAGAAATCACACGTCAGCAGAAGAGAGAGAGAGAGACGCAGAAAATGCAGAATGGTGCTGGCATTTCAGGGAACCCTTTTTAGCTACAGCAGGTAGGTCAGAACTATAACAGAATCCCACAACACAATGAGCTGCGGAAGTTAAATATAAGCCACCCAAGAGCATGGACACGAGAGTTTGTTTTTACAGTGAGCCAACAGACCATCAACTTTGTGCCACATCCCTGCTCAAAATAATTCACAGTCTTTGTATTTTATCAGAGAGGCAGAGCCCATGCTTATACCACTTGCCAGCTTAAGTCAATTGAAATGATTAACTGAGAATGAGAAACGTTCATACTTTCTGTTTCTATTATGCCAGACTAGTAATATCTGTCATGTTCCTTTTCCATGATGGGACCATCTCATTACGAAATTATCTAGCTTCCTTACACACATTACGCTTAACATTACTTTAACTGCTATAAGCACTGTAGGCTCGCAAGCCCACAGTTCTTTACCAGTATGCCACTTGGTAAAAAACACTTTTCCTTAAACCTAGGTCACGCGCTGAGGTTTCTACATGCTGCTCACAAATATGAAGACAAACTGTTTTTGCATGCTTACTCAGAAAGAAAGTTGACATTTATCCAGCATAGCTATCACACTACAGTTCCCAGAACTGCAAAGATTTTTAGAGAAAGGAGAACCCTTGTGGAAGATAAAAACGTGTTAAAAGCAAGGAAAAGAGTGCAAGAAGAAAATGATGAATTTAAGAGAAAATATGCCTCAGCACCAGTGAATAGAAGGGAATGTACCCTAGCTAGAATTCAGGATGCTGTTTTTAAGTACAGTGGTAGGGGAAGAGAAAACCATGGTGCCATGTCAATACCGCATTTGCTATTTGGTGTCTAAGGAGACACTCAAGTGATTCGCATGGCTGGTATTTAACTTGGTATTTCTTTCTAGGGTTATGTTACAGCAGAAAAATCATTTCCTTACTCTCGAGCATGTACTTCTTAGCAATAGGCAGAGACAGCAGTCGGAGGTGACCAATGAGGGAGCCCCAGGAATGGGCTCTGGAGAGCGGAGCTTCAGGTGGCAGCAGGCTGTATGGCTGGATCACGAAGTAAACAGTTAGCAAAACCAATCCCAGCATGAGCAGGCCCTGTGAGAGAAAACAGCCATGTAATTAATTATATTGCAGTGACCTGATGCGTTTTCAGAACATGACACACCTTCTGGCTGTTATCAAAGGACTGTGGCTGTGCACTGTAAGATGAACACTCAAATTTTTCACTGTGGCTCCTCATTCAACTGCAATTCTATTTACATACACAGGGAGTTGTCACCCAGTTTCACTGTTAGGGCAGTTCCAAAGATGAAGTAAAGCAGCCTTCAAATCAGACCCATGCAACTTCATTCATTCATTTTAGCACCGTGAATAATCCAGCACCAGAGCAAGAATGATCTACAGATGGTTTTGATTCCTCCCACCTAACCAAATAAAAGCTTGCACTTCCACCATGCCTCTTACACAAAGTTTACAAAGCCTTTTGTAAACATCCGCCAAGCCTTGAAACACTTTGGCAGCGCTGGTGCCAGCTCCCTCCCTCGTAACAGAACCTCAAATAAGCCTTAAGGAGATGACATTATGCATTCCCCCCCACCCGGCCAAAGTCAGAAAGAATCAACAGCAAAAACAAGAACAAAAGTTGAAAGTTCAAAATTCCGGTTTCTTGTTCTCCTGACTCATTTTTACATCTTGTGTATGATAGAGGGAAGACAGAAGGGATGGATTTTTTTCTAAATAGAAACTATTGTGATGATTTTTCAAAGACAACACTAAAACACTATGGAATATTATGTCAATAGGAAGCTTTACATACTTGTAATATCTCCAAGCTACCTAAGAGAATGGAATCCTTTCACCCACTTTGTAACACTTTTTACAACATCTTCTAACTATGGTCCTCAAAACATTTTTCTGTCATCAAGCACCATGGCAGTTGATTCATTTTATTGACTAGAAGGAGAATAAAGATAGGTAGAAGCTCATGACAGGGTCAGAAACAGAATATGGATGTTTTCATTAGTCAACCCTGAACTTTAAGAATCTCCTTCCTTTCCACTATGTGTGCTGACACTTGGAATCAATGCCTGAAAAAAAAATAAAAATCCAAAGGCTTTGTTCTTCAATAATTTAAGGAAAGGGGGGCATTGACATATTCAACTTTCAATTCATATAAGCAATTCCAAATCTTGGTCATCTGTCTTCTTTTTTCAGATCAAATTCTGGAAGGAAGGAAAGAAGGAAGGAAGCTACACTTAACAGTTTTTTGAATAAAGGACTCTGAAAAATTAATCAGGAAAACACAATGGGAAACAAAAGGCTCAGGTGCCAAAGGAGAAATTCTGATCCTCAAATAGCCTGTACATGCATAAGACACCTTACCTTGTAGACAGCCACTAAGATAGGGTAGCGTGGAGGTCCCCTTTGGGGTTCATTTCTTTCCAAGAGCTGCTTGATGAATTTCTCAATAGCTTTTTCTGACATCCCACACTGGTGGCCAGTCTGTCTCACTAGATCAATTGTCTCTGATAGCTTGTCATAGATGCTGAGGTCAGTGGCTGAAAGCTCCATGGCCTCCAATGAAAAATCCCTATGGAAAGATTCGATACATTAACAGAAAACATAACCCAGTCATCCAGTTCAACACCAGCATGCGAAGAGAGATCTCAGGAACACCAGAATGTCTAGACAAGAAGGAAGGTTTCTCTGGAGCAAGCCCATTCACTGACAAAGACACAACATTAGCTGCAATCTTAATAATCTCTGGTAGTCCAGTACCTCCAAAGGAACAAAAGAATATGTAAATTTTCCTGAAAACAGGAAAAAAACAGTAAAGATTCACATTATGTAAATGAAAAAAACTTCCCAGAAATCACTGAAAGTTCATTTATTCATCTGTTCCAAACGAATCTGTCCCATAAAGTGTTGTTCACCAAGGACGAATGCCAGCAACAGAAAGTTGATCACCACACACAGTAGCCAAGCAAAGCTCTCCTGCACTGTAACTGTAGTCACTTATTTTAACGTAGATTTCTTTTCATTAAATCCCCTGTCAGCAACTAAGTACAGAACAGGGAAATGAGCAGCATGTGCAGGGCAAAGTTCAACAGTTTACAATTTGTTTAAATTTTTGCAACCTAATGTCCAGGCCAACTGATTATTGAGTAACAGTTACAAGATAGCAGCACAGTCTGCAGGCAAAAAGAAAACTCTTGCATTCTTCTGAAAGGTTGCCTTCAGGTCATTCTTAAATGCAATGTAACTAAAACTGCAGTAAGAACTGCATTGTGAACTCAGGACAGAGACAAAATGGCATTTGATAGCAAATTACTTTCCATCGTGAAATTTCAACAGGGAAGCCTGTAAGAACACACCTATGAGCAATCAACATTAAAACACAAAAAAAGTGGTTCTGCTACCACTCCTCCTGCCTGCCACAAAGGATGAGCCTTACAATATCAAGAGCAGCAGATAGGGCTGAAGAAAAGATACAAAGAAATAGCAGAACAAGGAAATAGCAGGTAGTGTGAGAATCCCATTGTTCCAGACATTTAGCCTTGACAAAACACTGCTGATGTAATAAGAGTATCTTTGAGGTCTTGCTTTGCCTCTAGTTTCTGAGATGGGAAGACTCGAACCTAGATCAAACCAACACTTCTCCTGGAGTCACAGTTTAGCAATGCATTGCCCTGAAAGCACAGGCTGAGAACCATCACAGAGAAACTCAAGGAGCTTGACCAATATACCCAGCTCACAGCTGAAAATGGAAATCAGGCCCCCAACCCCCTTTTGCTTTATGTACTACCTTGACATCAGTAACAGCTCACAAATCCAGTGTGCTGCTTCACCCAGTGCAACACCTTGCCCTGCTAAGTCTGTTGCTGTACTGCAATAATCACCTAACTTCACACAGGTTTTCTCTGCATGTGCCTCACAGTACTTTCTGCATTTTAAAAACACAGGTCCATTTTGCTCACTTGAGAACAAGCTGACAAGCACTGAGCAATATGTTATTTAAACTTAGATTGGCTTTGCTGTAACCCATCCTGGCTGCAGACACGGGACAAATCAGCCATAAATGTACGTATGTATATACCATTGTTATAAATGAGGTCTCAACTCATTATGAATTTTGTAATATTTATAAAACAAATATTTCTAAAAGGTATAAAAGGCAAGGAAACAGTGCTGGGTGTGCAGGGAGTCTACACTCCACCGACACGCACAAACAAACATCAAACATTCTAAATATACAGAACATCGCTTTACATACTAAACGCAACTATGCCTATACATATGTACGATCAGAAAAGGTAACAAACAATCCTCCAAGTTTCACAACTCAACAGTCTCCATTTTCCACTCCTTTTCTTGATTACATACAAGTCTCCATTTTCCATTCCCTTTATACAATATGTCTTGCTTTAAGTTGTCAAGCAACTCGGTCTTCAGGCCTTATGTATCCCATTCTTCCCGGATCAAAGAAAAGCAGATCCATCTCCTTTTCAAGGCCAATAGGGTCTGGGTCAAAAGGCACGTCCAGGTCAGCAGGGGGCATAACAGCAAAGGCCTGCGATGGCTGTAGCAGCAGAGGTGCCCATGGCGTAGCAGTTGGATCAGTAAAGGAGCCCGCAGCTCACTCACTATCTGGGAAACCACACGTGTCTGACTGTGGTCCCACAGGGCTCTTTAAGGCCTCAGAGACTGCTCGCCAGGTGCCGAGCAATCCCACTGCAACCTCGTTGCTTTTAGTTGCAGAGTCCCACAACTTGACCTCAGTTTGGTTCCATATTTCAGGCTCATAAACTGTCTGATTGTTAATAAGGAGAACAAGCTGTAAGGTTACCAGGACAGCCTTTGTTCCTAAGGATGTATGATTCCCCATAATGTGCAACTGCTTACCAGCGAGAGGCAGTTATGTGCACGGGTCCGCTTCTCTCAGCTTGAGGTTCTCTCCAGCTCCGGTGTGCCTATTTCCAGCGACTTTCTGTACGAGCTTCTCTGAGCGGTTTGCTGAGTTTGGCCGAACCTATCTTCATGAGGCAATCAAAGTGCCTGTTCCCATCCTGGTCTCCATTCTGCCAGCCTGTTCCTCTTCACTTCTTTTTCCTGCTTCTTTATTGAAGACGTAACTTAATCATGTTGCCTTTTTTATCTTGAGGGCAGGCTCCCCTCTTATACCCTTCTCCCCACAGCAGTTCTTTTCAAAACACCTTTTCATTGGTCAAACAACTTTGAATGCAACAACAACAGCAAACACCCAGAAACATCCATGCCTTAATGGCTGGAGAACAAGAGACCAGCTGGAGAACAAGAAAACGGAGACTGCATGGAGTCTCCTGAATCACCCTTCTTTGTTCCCTCTAAACTCTTTTATATTCCTGATGGCCTCATCGTTAAGAGTCTAATGTTATCTCAACCACGGGGTTTTCCAACCCCCATGGCCACATTCCCAAATCTCATCCTTTTTTATTAATGTCAACCATTTTCTGGACACGAATTACCACTCCATATATAACACCATGAAGTAAGATCATCTTGTTGGCAACCAAACTTGAAATCTGCTTTGCCTTTCAAGAACTGGCTGACAGTTCTCCTCCTAAACCCTGGGTTTCTAGAAGTCAGAACTCAAGCAATGACATTTCTAATGATTTTCTTCAATAGTAAGGTGTAGTTTTGGGGGAGGAGCGGTGAAGAAAAAAAAATCAGTATTACTACTAACTTCAGCAACTACTTCTCTCTCCCAAGATCAAGTCCATGTTCTGCTCTTTGCACATCTATGTGGTCACATGGTGAATCAGGAAAATTACCTGGCTGAAAAACAACCCATATTTGTTTAGTCAGCAACTGCCTAGGCATCCAGCTCAAGTAGTTAATGTCAGATGTTACATTAATTTATTAGTTAAAATAAATTGCATTATATCTGATTTCAGCCCTAGAAAAAACAAAAGAGTCAAATTGATATTTTAAATCAAACACCAAGCATGCAAGAAGAACATGTTGCACTACACTGCCAGGTTAATTAGTTCCTGGTCCTGTTCTGCCACCTTTCCTAGCATTCTAGGCAAATATTTGTCCCAGATCTTACTACCCGAGCAGCTTCATGGGCTGGCAAAACTACTCCAAGGCAGGTTTGATCAACATCTTATTATGGAACGTAAGCTCTCCAAGGCAGGGACCTTTTCTTCTGGTCTGTAAAGCACCTGGCATGCATTTGGTTCTATAAAAACAATTCATTGCTTTACTAACTCTTTCATTTATGTAATACCCCAATTCATAAAAGAAGCAAGAGCCAGCACATCTGCATGATATTAAATCCTTCTTTTTTTTCCAGCTTTTAGAATTACAGTGGTTGCCTTGACACTACAATTGGTATGCTAAATGGTCTGAAAGGTTACCTAGCTTCCTCTTTTACTCCCATGTGCCAAAGCTTTTTTTGCATGTGAAGCTCTCCCATGCTGAATTCCAACAGATTCAGTGAGCTTCCTCTGTGTGCAGAATCTCTCCTGAGCCACTTAAAACAATTATCCCTACAGAAATGCTGTCAGACATGACAGTTTCCCCCTTTCCAAATAGCATAGGCATCCTACTATACTAAAACGCTGAGACACATTTTAGTTCTCCCCACCTCTACATTTGTATTCAGCTCTGAGCAAGTATGTTTGAGGACAATGCCTGCAAGTCACAGGCGGTCATTTAAAAACCCTGTATAGTTTGTTGACAAATTCAACAGTAATCCATGTTTTCAGCTAAGAAATAAGGCATTATCCTAAGACACTGCTTTGAGAACAGATAGCTTTATAAATAATAATACATTATATTCCTTCCCATCAGCACAATAAGACTAACAAAATAATAATAAGAGACTACTGTATCCACTTAGCTGTTACACAATGAGTCCTTCCACACAGCAACCTCTCAGAGGCAGGCGTTTTAAACTAGAGAACCCATATGGTTAGTGCTATTTTTTATGAACTCCACCAACCCAAGAGGAATAAGCAGCCCCTCTCTGCTGGCCAATCCACAAACAGAATTAGCAGCAGATCTTGTCCTGAAAGGTTTCCATTCAGGCACCCAGTCCGAGCAGCAAACTCTATACAGGGCTTTGCAGAGAATATGCTCTGCCTCCATGACGTACACTGGAGCGTTTGGACTGAGGCTTTAAAAAGACAAATATTTAGAAAGAAATGCTATTAGAGAAGTCTTTAAATGGGAACAGCAGTTTTCATTGCCATCTGGTAAACCCGAAATAGCAATATACGAGAAAAATTTTAACCTGCTTTAACACCATTTCTGCTGCCCCCTGTACAGGGGAGAAGGGGAGGGGGCGGCGGCGAGCCCTGGCCTGTAAGTTCCCCGCCCTCTCCGGGAAGGAGCCTGCATCCCACCGCCACGGTAACACGGTATCGCCCTTATTTATTTCTAAGAACCTCCGTCCAGGTTTTAACAAATAAACAAACAGAAGCAGAAATCACCCCAATCCCCGCAGCCGGGAGCCGAAGCGCGGAGGCGGGGGTGGGGCGCATTCGCGCCTCAGGCCCAGGGGAGCCCCCTCCGGCCTGCCCGGGCCACGACCACCGGAGGGGGCTGAGGGCCCGCTCGCCCAGCGCTGGGCTCTCGCCCCAGAGCTCCCAGCACCCCGCTGCCCACCCCGCTTGCCGCCCCCTGCCTCACCCGGCGGCCGTCCCTCTCCGCCGCCCGGCTCCGGGCTCCTCCCGCCCGCGGTGGGGGCGGGCCGAGGGGCCGCGCCGCTGCTTCCTGCTTCCGGCCCGGCCCAGCACCGCCGCGGGGAGCATCTCCGGCTGCCCCGGGCGCCCAGCGCTAGTCAGAGCCTGGGACTGTCCTGAGCACCCTCGAGACAGTCCCCACCACCCACCGGGGCCCAGTTCCCCCTGAGACCACCCACCCAGCAGCCACTTGACACCAAAACCACCCTGAGGTCCCCCCAGCGCCCTGAGAACCCCCAAAGACCCTCCCAGCACCCACCGGCGTCCACAGCGCCCCGAGACACGCCACCGCCAACAACCTCTCCCGGGCACCCCAATCACCCTATTTGCGTTCCTGCACCTGATGTCGCAGCACTCCCGATACCCTCCTCCAACCCCACGCATCTCTAATCCTTGCTTCAAACCCTGCCCCCTGCGGTGGTTTAACCTGGCCGGCAGCTAAACAACACACAGCCGTTCGCTCACCCTCCCCACTCCCTCTCTGGGACAGGGGAGAGAAGCGGGAAAGTGAAGCCTGTGAGTTGAAATAAAGACAGTTTATTAAGACAGGAAAATAATAATTATAATAATAACAATAATGATGATAACAGTACTACTACTGATAATGTGTACGAAACAAGTGATGCACAATGCAATTGCTCACCACCCGCTGACTGATGCCCAACCTAACCCCGAGCAGTCTGGCCCCCCTTCCCCGGCTAGCCACCCCTATATATTGTTTAGCATGACGTCAGATGGTATGGAATACCCCTTTGGCTAGTTTGGGTCAGCTGTCCTGGGTCTGTCCCCTCCTAGCTCCAGCTGCACCCCCAGCCTGCAAGTTGGCAAGACAGAGCAAGAAGCTGAGACGTCCTTGGCTTGGTGTAAGCACTGCTCTGCAACAATTAAAACGTCGGGGTGTTATCAGCACTCTTCTCATCCTAAGCCAAAACACAGCATTCCACCAGCTACTAGGAAGAAAATTACCTCTGTCCTAACTGAAACCAGGACATCTATCCACCCCTTATTCCATACCATTTATGTCATGCTCAGGTTACACTCTTTCCCATACATTCTAATTAATCACCATTTTCATCTAGGGTATATAGTAATCATGGTAGTGATGACATACAGTATTATATAGTAATTAACATGATAGAATTCAATTCATGGGCTATTCTCACTCAGTATTAAATCCCCTTGAGGTACACACCGGACCTGTCCATTCTTTTGCATCACCCACCAAGTGTATCCAGGTCCCTGAGCAAAAGGAATTCCACAAATGGGTTTGCTTTTTCCTGAGGCAGGAGTAGCCCAGACTGTTTTACCCAGCATATTTCTTACGTGCACTACAGGAGCTTTATCCCCATCTACAGTACGTAACAGGTTTGATTGGGCAGGTTCAGCTCCGTTGGCAGATCCCCTAGTATTGACTAACCAGGTGGCCTTTGCCAAATGCGTATCCCAATTTTTGAATGTCCCAGCACCCATTGCTTTCAATGTAGTCTTTAACAGTTCATTGTACCATTCAATTTTCCCGGATGCTGGTGCATAAAAGGGTGATACACCCACTCAATACCATGTTCTTTGGCCCAAGTGTCTATAAGATTGTTTCGGAAATGAGTCCCATTGTCTGAATCTATTCGTATTGCGATAGCAGGTAGCGATTCGTATTGCGATAGCAGGTAGCGATTGGCACCTGCTGTTCTTTGACCCTCAGCAACCCCACAACAGAGGGGTCCTCTGAGAGACCAGGCAAGGTAGACAACTGTTTAACGCCCTCTGTCTCAAAGACAGATATACCAAAAGCCCAATGGAACCCTTTTGGGTCCTTGAAATATCCTCTTCTAAGATAGTCTATGCCAAGGATACACGGAGCATCTGGGCCAGTCACAATACGGTGCTTTTCCCACTCTTTCCCAGTCAGACTCACTTAAGCCTCCAATACAGTCAACTGCTGAGATCCTTCCGTCACTCCATAAATACAAATGGGCTCTGGCCCTTTATAGCTTGATGGCATTATAGTACATCGTGCACCAGTGTCTACTAAGGCCTTATATTTCTGTGTGTCTGACGTGCCAGGCCATCGAATCCACACAGTCCAATAAACTCGATTGTCCCTTTCCTCCCCCTGGCTGGAGGCAGGGCCCCCCTAATCCTGGTCAGAATCTTCTTCATTTCTGTGTTTGAAGGACTGTCTGCTGGAAGTTGGAGCAGCAAACTTTTCAGAGAATCCCTTTTTTCCTGATTGTTTTCTTTTGCAACTCACGTACCTGTGCCTCTAGGGTCGTGGTAGATTTTCCATCCCACTTTCTCATGTCCTCTCCACGGTCTCATAAGTAAAAGCACAGTGTGGCATGGGGTGAGTACCCACCATATCGTCTTCCTCGTGTGAATGAATGCTTACCCCTGATAGCTGAGACACTGGTTTGTACAGGTGGGGGGGAAAATAATCTCTCTTCAAGTTGGTGATCCTTTTCAGAAATTTTCTCCCAAGTGTTCTCTTTTAGTTGGTGGACACTGGTTTGCTCAGGTGTGGAGGAAGATAGATTCTCTTTAAGTGGGTGGAACTCTTCAGAAAGTTTCTCCACAGCTGAGACGCAGGCCTGTGAGAGTCCTTGCTGCAACGTCCTTTTAGGTAGTTGTAGAGAGCGATGAGGTCTTCCCTCAGCCTCCAGACTAAACAACCCCAGCTGCCTTGGATACTCCTCATAACTCATCTTCTAATTCCTTCCCAGATGTTGGTCTTCTCTGAATTTGTTCCAGCAACTCAATAACTTTCTCGTAGTGAGTGCCCTAAACTGAACACAGTACATGAAGTGTGGTCTCACAAGTGCTGTGTACACGGGGGCAAGGGCAAGGGGAGTCCTAGGGGATGACCACACTATTTCTGATGCAGGCCAGGAAGCCTTTGGCTTTATTGGCCACCTGAGCACCCTGTTCTCTCTTGTTCAGTTAGCTGCTGACCAGTACCCCCAGCTCCTTTTCTGCTGGGCAGCCTTCCAGGCGCTCTTACCCAAGTCTGTGTTGCTGCATGAAATTGTTGTGACCTAAGTGCAGAACTAGTGTTTAGCCCCAGCCCATCAATGCAGCTGGATAGGTCCCTCTGCAGAGCCTTTCTACCGTCAGGCAGATCAACACTCCTGCCCAACCTGGTGTTGTCTGCAAATGGACTGAGGGTGCACTTGATCCCCTCATCAAAAGCATTGATAAAAATGCTAAACAAAACTGGTCCTGGTCCAGAGACCTGGGGAACACCACTGGTGATGGGTCACCAAGTGGATGGAACTCCATTCACAGTGACCCTTTGGGCCTGGCCATCCAGCCAGGTTTCTACACAGCAAGCAGTACATCTGTCCAAGCCATGAGCAGACAGTTTCTTCAGGTGAATGATGTGGGAAACAGTATCAAATGTTGCTGGGATAACAAAATCAATATTTCATGCCTTTCTAGCATTTCTCTCAATGAGACATTCATTTCAGAGTTTGAAGAGGAGGATTTGAGAGCAGTAACATTTGCTTTATGCAACACCTTTGGGCACAAAGTCAATCCTCTTTTATAGACCTATTTCCAGTGAAATGGAACAGGCATTTCTCTCTATTTGCTGCTCCATGAAGCCTTTTCTTTTGCAGATCACTGTTTGGGGCCCTGTTCAAGCCCTCTGTTCTTTCCCTGGAGCAGCAAAGTTGAATGGTTTGAAGGTATTGCTGCATTTGCTGCCATCTAACGGGAGAATATAGCCTCGGCGGCCTCAACTCCTTACATTTATGTGGCAGATACAAATGTTTCTGTAGTAGCAGGATTGTGCAGGAAAAGCAGCAACAGCTGCATGCAATGTGAGCAAAGGGAAAAGGGAATCTGTTGTCGAACTTCAGCACATGGCCAGTTTTGTACAGTGCCTGTGCAGTCAGGAACCATTACAGAGCCGGTGAAAGGAGCCCACTTGGGTTGATCAGGCTGAAATGGTGCGTCTCTCATCACAGATCAGACTTGCAAAGTGTGTTTTATGTTGTTTTAAGATAAAACAGTAGAAACAGTGAAGATGGGCACAAACAAATCCTGTTACGGACATCCAGAATCCAGCCACAGCCCTAAGCTAAGCCAAGTAAACTCTTCCTGGGTAGTTGCATTTTTCAGGCTTGTCCCACAATGCAACAAGTAATAAAACCATTCTATAATGAAATATGGTAGAAGGTGATCACCATGGAGTGGTATCATATATTGCATTAAGCAAATAAAGTTCTTTAAAAATTAGGGCCAGTGGAGAATGGCCACTTGCAAAAGGATGGACTTGGGAAGGACTCTTAGGGGATGGGGGCTTTGGTGATACAGAGGTATTGGGGCACTGCAAAGGGGATGGCACGTCTAAGAGAGCTATCAGCACTGATGCTGCTTCTTCAGCTTGTTATAAATGATGAGAACTGCTTTGTATCAAAATTGCCTAGCTTTGGATTATTTACTAGCACAAGAAGAAGTCTGTGGAAAATTTAGCTTTAGTAATTGCTGTTTAAAGATTGATAAAAAGGGTGTTTCTTCCTAGTAGCTGATAAAATGTTATGTTCAGGTTTAGGATGAGAAGAATGTTAATAATATGCTGATGTTTTAATTGTTTTTAATTGTTACAGAGCAGGGCTTACACCAAGCCAAGGACCAAGCCAAATTCAGCTTCTCACTGTCCTGCCAGCAGGCAGGCTGGGAGGAGGGCCGGACTGCTCGGGGTTAGGTTGGGCATCGGACAGCAGTGGTGAGCAATTGCATTGTGCATCACTTGTTTCGTATACATTATTACTAGTAGTAATATTATCATCATTATTATTGTTATTATTATTATTTTCTTGTTTTTATCTCAACTCACAGGCTTCACTTTCCCATTTCTCTCTCCCATACCAGAGAAGGAGAGGGGGGGAGGTGAGCGAGCAAACACAAACCTGGAAGGATATGGAATGGGATTTATTTTCATGGCTGCCTGGTGGACCATGGGTTAAAAGAGTGTTATTTTTATTGTTATGTGGTGTAAAGATGTTATTGTTTATACCTTGTATGATACCTTGTCTTACATTATTAATACGCCGGGTGATAAATAGTATGTTGGTAATAACTTCATTAAAAAAGGAAGGGAATATGTCAATTATGATGCTTAAGAATTGGACCCTCCAAGAACGGACTGATGAAATCCAGTTAACAACAGAAGAGACACGAATTGTTGATATTAAAAAGAAGATAAGGGATTGTGAGGAATGTGTTAACAATTCGTGTCCATAAAGAACAATTCTGTTTGAATCCTGTCTGCCTCTGGGTCCTGCACTGGCAATTTAATTCTTGAACCACAGATGCAGTGTGTCCCAGTCTCCCCCTCATTCTAGTCAATTTATCACGTCTTCAGAAAACACTCCCTAAATTTATGAACCTGTTTGCTTTTGTTATTCCGGACTATTTCTAACAGTTACAGCCTTTTTTCCTGTTTTCTTCGAGATTAACTTAACACTGCTATAGATGTGTCTGTGAATGGCTGGGGAAGAATGTTTTAATTACTCGTGAAGCATCAAATAAGAAAGCTGTTTGTGTTTGATGTCTGGGAGTTTCAGAACAACTGATAACAACTAGTGACTGTTATGGGATACTATGAGGATCCTTGGTATCTGGCCAGGGGGGCCAAGAGATTAAGAGGAAGAAAAAAGAAGCTGAAGGACGGTTGGGAGACAAGACCTGCAGAGAGTGTACAGAGAGTGTTCCATAAACTTGGAATAGTGCCGAGTGAGTACAAAGGTGAGAGGAAGACTACGAGCCTTCATCATGAAAGACCCCTAGAGACCCCCAGAGGAGACTGATGCGCATGCTCCAGTAGGAGGAACTGGACCCCGGAAGCTAACTATAATAATCTATTTTTTTTTTAGAAGTAGTAATGAATATGTATTAGTCTAGGTGCATAAAAATCAGCTGCTTGATGTAACTGGTGTGCGTCCTGGTGGAGCGGAGACTCCCGGTGCACCCAGCGCTGTTTGCTTACCTCTATTCCTTTATATTCTTTTAATAAATCCTATTTTTTTATTTAATCCTAATTTGAATCCTGAGCCATTTATAACAAGCTACAGTCACTACAAAGTGACAGTACCTACCACCTTCCCTGGTGGAGCTCATGACCCTGATTTTTCCGAGCATGGTCATCCTTTGGTCTCCATTCATCTCCCTCTGCAAATCATTATCAATTCTGAATATTTTTTGTGGATCATACAGAGTTGCCTTTTCTTGAGAATAAGGGAATAAAACCCCAGCCTGGCTTTGGATGTCACTTGGTTTTGGGGACAGCAGGGAAACCTCTCTGTGCTTCTTAGACAGGACTGTGAGCAGCACATGTGCCCTGTTTAAATGGATAATTCTGTGAGCAGGGCAACGGCAGTCTGTCCTTGCCTAGCACTGTAAGTTTTCCATTGCCTAATAAAGACTAAACTTAAATAGCAACTTTTCAACAATGGTGACATGAATTAGTCTCAGTCACTTCTGCCTTTATTAATACAGAAGTGGCAAGTTCTCAGAGCTTTGATATCACTATCAGATACCGTTAAAAAAAGCCACTGTTAGAATCAGGGAAAGAGAAACTAGGTACATACATGAGGAGCTCTGTAGCCTTGTTTCACTGGAAAGCCGAGCTATAACAGATTCAGAAACACAGTTGTGGTTTTTTATTTTTTTTTTATTTTTGGAATATATAAAAACACAAAAATGCAACACTCATATTCTTATCTATTTAGTCTGTATGCCTTTCTCTGCAAAAATATGGTTATCTGCATTAAGCTGTTAAAAAAAAAGAAATTGTGATATGTACCTTTTTAGATGTCACACTGAGATTCAGTACTTCATTAGAAGTATCACTTTTAAAGGGCAGGGTGCAGAAGCTCACTTTTCCCTGCCCATACTGAGGGTTTGCTGTGACAGTGCAAGACTCTGCTCTGGGTGCACTAAAGTGAAACAAGGACTCATGAGCATTTCTCTGTCTATATACCTCACCACCCCACCACTTCAGTGCCCTTTCTTTTATCCTGGACTTGCTTTTGATCAAAACACCTTGAAAAGCTCCAAAGTTTTTAATCTTTTTCAGACAGGACCCATTGCTGATCACTGGCATTGGAAACTGAAAAAGGGAAAAACAGCTTTGCCTTGCCAAGTTGGAGAGACTTACACTGCACTTAGGATATACAGCATGTTTCATTGGTCCAAACCAAATCTGACCAGCTTGTAAAGACAGAGCCAAAGTCCCCACTGCACAGCAGCACAAATGGCCTTAAACATTCTGCTGACTCCCTGTACTCATTTCTTTTATCCTGAGACTGGGTTTTGCTGCCTGCTGCTTCCAGGATGGTTCCAGTATCTTGGATCCAGATGGGTTCCTTTCTGCCTCCTTCTCCTTCATTAGCCCAATTTTGGTCTTCAGGTGAAGGCAGTGCAGTTTCCCAATAAGTCTCTTGGAGGGTTTGTTCTCTCTGGCAACTGGCAATAGCAGAGATGAGCAGGGAGCAGAACAGACAACAGCCTTCTCCTCTGTAGCATTTTTTGCTCTCAGCATCAAGGGAGCTCAGGCAAGACAGGCACACAAGGAGCAGGGCTGGTGGTCAAGAATCCTTTTTTTTTTTTTTTTTTTTTTGCTTTTCTGCCACAGCAGTTTCAGACTACAGCAAGGACTCTGTTCATCACCAGCAGCAGCCCTTTTTCTTCTGAGGCAGCTTTGCTACCTCTTCTGTCTTATTTCTCAATTGATCTTCACGAACTTTGAGTGACCTGGGCAATAAGAAAGTTAGTTAGTCAGGTGCTTTCCCCCATATTTTGCATTGTTATTATATTTTTTAGGACAAGCATTGGTAAGGGGACTCAGTGCAGTGAAAGGAGTTGGGAACCTTCCAGCTCAGCACGCTGTGAGAACTGCAGACTCTGCTGAAAATGCCAACCTAAATCCAATCACAGACAGAACTGATTTCAAGCAACTCAGGAAGAAATTAGCAGCATCCTGAGAAGGGTTTCCTTCATCCCCTTGCAATGCTGTACATCCAGGTGACATCTCACAGCACCTCCCCAGCTCATCCTGGCCATGCATGTGCTGCTCTGGGAGCTCTCCATGGCATATGGGGACACAGAGGCTGTGGTGACAGTGAGATGCCAGCATTTCCTAGTGAAAAAGGCAGGAGGAAGTCCATGAAATTCAGGACAGCTGACGAAATACAGGCACAGGCCTCACCTGATTAGGCTGACCATGGACTCAGCAACGTTGTGGCCAGAGGCAGCGCTGCATTCATAAAATATGAGCTGATACTCCTGGAAGACAGAGTCCACAGAGAAATGTGCTTTCCTTGCATTGGAATAGCTTCATATGGGAGCAAATAGCCAAGAAACATCATGGTCAAGTGGAAACAGGACTCAAAGGAACAGGTAACTCAATAACTGATTTACAGCTCTTCTGGTAGCTGCAACACCAACATTTAGCGTCAAGAAGAAGGTTACTACTGCAGAGAACAATGCAATGCAGCCTGGTTAGTGGAGCAAACTCAGAGAGAGCAATGAGGTATTACTGGGTTTTTGTACCTGCCAGTGACAGATTTGTGAGAAACAAAGCATCTAATCCCTTGTCCTGCTGCTTCCATTGGCAGAATCAGTCAGGGGATACTGGCCCAAACCTCAGAAACTTTGAAATTAAATGGGTAAAGGTGGATTTCTTCTTATCTACTTTTTATTAGCCACCTACATTTTAAGAGATTGATAATATTTTTAGTGTTCAGTATCTTTAAAACATGAGAGAGTTCTGTGTTTTTATTATTTTCATTATGCTGGGAAGATGCATGGCATTTCCCAGCAATGATAAGATGGGTTCAGAGATCGTTTTGCTGTCCACTGATGCACTAAGTTGCATTTTGTAATGCAGGTTCCAGGCAGGCAGGAGCTGGTGGCTTCCATCCTTGGGTGTCCCTACTGAATCTGTGTGGGCAGCATGCTGCAGCAGGGCCATGCACCTACCTCAGCCAAGCGTTCTGCCTCTTGAGTAGGGACCTGTCTCTCTGTAGCGCAGTCCGTTTTGTTCCCAAGAAGCAGAATAGTGACTCCGTCATCTGCTCCCTCCTGGACAATAAAACAGGGAAGAATCAGGAGCACACCTACATCCTCCTTGAATCACAGCCAGACACACTGCCCAAAGACATCCTGGAACATCATGAAGGATGTGCATAGATTTTTTCTGGTAACAAAACTTTAAATTCTTAAACTCACTTAACAACATTTAAGAAAATGTTTGTTTGTTGTTAAGTCATCTGTCCTGGTCTATTAACAGGGCAGGTAACCAGGCAAGTTCACTACAGGGTTATCTTGCTTTGTGTTTGACTTCAAGAACCCTTCAGAAGATGCTCTGACTGTGATTTATGGGCACTGAGCATAGTGACAGACTATTTTGTTCCTTTAACATTTTATACTTAATTGAAAAATCTCTGGCAGGAAGTTTTTAAGAAGGCATGAGTTACCTCCTATTTCTCAGTACTCAAAAGAGGACTATGCTTTACTTAAAAGTGTTACCAAAATCACTTTCAACATTATCCATTTTTCTGCAGCAGTTTTTAATTTTAAAAAGTTTAGCAATCATAACAAAAGTTAAAACAACCTTCACTGCAAAAATATGAAAAATGTGAGCACCTGAATTGTTTAAATCCTTCCATAAAAATCAGTTTATGACCAAAGCAAGGCAGAATGCCCTTTGCAAAGTGCTTAGCAGCTACCAGCTGCCCAGCCACGACCAGTGGCAGAAGTCAAATGGTGAAACACTGATGCCAGTCATCATGAAACCCCAGGCCATGAGGCAGAACAAGGTTTTCCTGCCTTGCTCACCTGGATGCAGCTGAGCCAGTAGCGCACATCTGCGAAGGAGTACTGTGACGTGATGTCATACATCAGCACCACCCCGTCTGCTTTCCGGAAGAACTGCTTGGTGATGCTGTGGTACCTGTGGACATTTCAAACCATCACCAGGATGGAGTATGGAGGTTTCACCTAGAACCAATCTAAAATCCCAGAGGGAAAACCGGAAACATGGGTTGATCAAAAAGGAAAAAAGAATTTGCTTCTATCCCAATTGAAGAGGCCATGCAGACAGCCTGAGTGCTTACTTTTATCTTAATTACTTTCTCTATTATTTTTTTTTTTTTATCAGATCACACACTAATCAGAGTCCATTCCTAAACAATTGCCTTTGCTTAGCAAAACATTTGATTCCACTAAGCTACCAAAAGAATGAAAAGCTTTTTTTGCTCTTCCCAGTCATACAGCACAGCACCTCACCTTTCCTGCCCAGCTGAGTCCCATAGGCGGAGAGCAAAGTGCTTGTTGTCCATGATGAGGCTTTTGACCTGATAATCCAGTCCTAGGATACACAGAAAGGGGATGTTTTGTTATCATCGAGTTGACCACTGTTGTTGAGAGAATCTGGAAACAACATAGATCCCATGGCCTGCTGTAGCTGAGCAAACCAAGCTACCAGAGTAACTGTGAGAAGCTCCCACAGCAATGACTCCCATACCGCCCAATTAAGGAACTCAGAAAAATATTGTTACCAGCAGCTGGCCTCAAGGGCAAGGTCTCCGTGACTGCTAATCACAAGGGGGGTTCTTTTCTTGCAGGTGGGGTTGTTTTCTTATAGCTGTTTGTCTGAGTGCTTTTGACCAATAATCTTGTGTGAAACACTGTTCACCCCTGTTAAGTTTTCTATAAAAGTTAGGCTATTTGGGCAATAAAATGAAGCATGAGCTGACTCTGCTGGTGCCTGTCATGCTTTCAGCCGTGCTTTCTGCAACACACTGTGATAGATAATGGATGGAGAAGCCATGCTGTGTAGGCATAGTGTGGGGCCACAGCTGAAGCAGCATGGTTCCAGAGGAACCCATGATCTCTGGTGGCTGAATTTTGGAAAGGTCTCAAATTTCACAATGAGTAAGACCAGCTTGGTTCAGAGAATAGAGACAAAAGGCAGACCAGAGAGAAAAACCACTGGGGCCATCAGCATTGCCCCAGAGAGGGCAAGGAGGACCACCATTACCTGCTCATGAGCACCCAGGTATGTTGGTGGTCCTACTTGGTCCTTGGTGACAGGTTTGAGTGAGCAGTAATGCACATGTAATGACTTCCAGCAGCTTATGGGGCAGAGGAAAGGGAATTGTGGTGGTCGCACAAGTAAGTGTAGAGCCCTCAAGAGTGCAGTCAGAGGAAACCTACCTACTGTGGCAGTGAGGTGTGGGTTGAAGGTGTTGGCATGCAACCGGTACAGAAAGGATGTTTTGCCCACATGGGAATCACCGACAAACAGCACATTGTACAAGTGGTCTGGGTCCAGGGAGACTTCAGAAGAGCCCCTTGGAGAAGCTCCTGCTCCATTCACAGTCATAGCTCCTGGCTCTCCTGGGCTGGGCTCACCTTCCTGGCTCATTTTATGCCCCATCTCTTTTTTCTTCTCTGGTTGGCCAACATCAAGGTCTTCCCTCCACTCTTCTGAGAGATGCCTTTGAGGCTGCACCCTGCTGTTGGCTGCATCCATCAGTGTGCTGTCTCTGAGATTCATCCCCAGCAAATCATTCCCAGTATCTTCCTGCTCTTGGACCCTTGTGCAAAAGGCTGACACTGGTGGCACTTCTTGTTTTGGAGGCTCAGCAGGTCCAGCAGCTACTTGCTTGGTTTCTATCACACATGGTGGCTTCTCCTGTGGCTGCTGGGGAGCAGCATGAAGCCTCATCTTCTCTTTCTGTGATGAGACCTGCTCCAGGAGCTCACTTTGGGCTGCCTGTCCCGAACCACCTAGCCATTGCACATCTGGAACGAGAACATCCTCCTGCATCACCATATTCCAATTTAGAGTGCTAATTTGTAGAGGCACCTCAGAAACAGAGGCGGCCAGTGTGGCTGCATTAGTATCATGGCCCTGCTTTAGTTCTAAATGCTGAACTTCAACTAAGATCCTTGTCTCTGCCTCTACTCTAGCTCCCTGCACAACTCCCAGACCTTGAGCTCCATCCAGAGGCCTCCCCTCTGCATCAGCACTCTCTTCCTGGAAAATTTCCAGAGCTTGGTTTTCTTCCAGGGCCTGCTCATCTGGATCATTAACTGCTACCAGTTTTACATCTGGATAAGGATATTTAGTGGCAGAAGCATACTCAGGATGCAAAGCAGCCACAGCTGGAAGGGGCACAGGTGCATCAGCATCCCCATCCCACACATCTGTGTTGCACAGCCCCACTTCCAAAGCCACGGCTTGGCTCTGTGCCACTTCCCCAGTCCCTTCTTCAACCAGGGGCTGCAGGTCAGCCCATGTGCTCCCTCCAGGGGTTGATAAGAGTTCCTCCACCTGCACAAGTGACTCTGCCTCCTTCAATTTCAATTCCTGAGCATTATCTTGGACCAGTCCATCAGGGACTGGGCTCCCCACAGGGGTTTCTGTTGGGGAAAGTCCCTCACCAAGCACTGCAGCAGCACTGGTTCTCTCCTCCAGCCCTGGCTGTGCTCTACCAACCCCCTCCAGGGGCTGTACATCTGGCCCCATGCTCCCTGCCTGCTCTGTACCTGGGGCACCAGCAACACTTTGGTGCTGTAGCTCTGCTGCTGGGCTCCCTCCTGGGCTTGCCTCAAGCTCCCCCAGCTCTGCAAGCAACTGCACACTGGCAGCACTGCTCAGGGCCTCCAGCACCTCCATGCTTCCAGCCTTCTTCTGTTGTGGCACCTCTGAAGCAGCCCCCTCTGCCAGCCCAGCTTCTGCTCCCTGGGGATCAAGCAGAGGCTGATTTGGCAGCCCAGACTCGCTTGGCCCTTGTCCCCCATCCCCAGCCTCCTCCGCGAGACGAATGGCCATATGGCGCCCCACATCCCGTGGGGCTTCTGGGATAAGACCCCCATGGAGCAGAGTCTCTGCTGGAGAGTGTTCTGCCTCCTCCATTCCCAGTGTCTGAGCATTAATCAGGACCAGCCTAGGCAGACCTAGGTACTCCATAGGGGTTTCTGCTGGGGAAAGGCCCTCACCAAGCACTGCAGCAGCACTGGTTCTCTCCTCCAGCCCTGGCTGTGCTCTACCAACCCCCTCCAGGGGCTGTACATCTGGCCCCATGCTCCCTGCCTGCTCTATACCTGGGGCACCAGCAACACTTTGGTGCTGTAGCTCTGCTGCTGGGCTCCCTCCTGGGCTTGCCTCAAGCTCCCCCAGCTCTGCAAGCAACTGCACACTGGCAGCACTGCTCAGGGCCTCCAGCTGTTGCACACCTGCCACCACTGCCCCTTCCTGTGTTTCAGCTTGTGGCACTGCCTCTAGCTGTAGCACATGTGCATGTGAGGTCCCTTCCTTCATGTCCCCAAAATCTTCCCCACTGGGCTGTAGCCAGGCATCACCTTGCCCTCCCTGCATTGCCTCTCCTGCACCCCTCTCCTCCTCTGCAGCCTCAGCTAGGAGCTCACAGGCTGCTCCATGACTCCTGCCATGCTTTGCTCCATGCACCTGAGCTGGTTCTGCATCTACCTGCACTGTTCCTTTGTCCTGTCCCCATGACTGCACCTCTGCACCATCACCTTCCCCATCTACATTTTTGGGGTTGGAAACTGTTGTCACCCCTGGGAGGACACTGTCTTCCTGCTTTGCTGCCATTTGCACCTCACCCCTGCATATCAGCTCCGGCTCCAGGCACCCTCCCGGCTCCCCAAGCACATCTCTGGCCAAGTCCCAACCTGGTACAAGCTCCAGTTCCCAGCCCTCGGGGGTTGCCTCCAAATTTTCTCCCTGGCTTAACGCTGCTTCTTCAGCATCTCCTGGCAGCTGTGCCTTTTCCTGTTCTGTCTTTTTGTGCACCCATTCTGCTTCCTCCACCTCCACCCATTCCTGATCAGCTGTCTCTTTTCTCTCTCTGGGTGCACGTTGTGGACGCTCAGCCTCCTTTAGTATCTGCCCCTTCTCATCAGCACCCTTTCCCTTCCCAAATAATGTCCCTTTCACCTCCTCCAGGCCTTGCCCTGCTCCCTCCATGCTGTTTCCCTGCTCTGCCCCCAGCTCCTCAGTGGACGCACTGGCCTGTGTCATGTCCCGAGCAGGAAGCTCAGCTGCGGTTCGTCCCTCTCTCAGGTCTTCTTTGAACAGCTTGTGACCAACATGGGTATTCCTTGGGGCCCCAATGGCTGAACCATGCAGTGTTGCTGCTTCTGGTCCTTTTTGGCGCTCAGCATCATGTTGCAGGCAACAGGCAGCTTCTGCCAGTGCAGCTGGTGCCTGTGGCTTCAGCTGCATGCTCAGAGCTGCTATTGCATCATTCATCTCTCTTAGCAAAGAACCTTGGTCAGAAAACTGTTCCTCTTTCAGAAATTCAGGGAAAGGGTCCTCTTCTACAGAGAGTGTTCTTGGCAGTCCTGAAATGCTTGTTTCTGCTGGCAGCTTTTCCCAAACCCTGCAAGAGCAGAACATGGTGTGAGAACAGTTTGGCAGCAGCTCTGTCCCATCCACCTCCACCTTGGAGGATGCTTCCTCTGCCTCTTTGCCTATCCCTCTCCAAACCCCTCTGTATTACAGGCAGTGCCATGCTCAAAATCTCCAATCTGGACTGGAGCTGCCAAGTTCAGAGAGCAGCAAAGAAACAGAGCCAGGATCAGATCATAGCTGAGAAAGTGAACATGCTTCTTCCCAAGCTCCACATTCACGTTATCAGAGATGAAAAGAAAAATCTCAGTCAGATACAGTGAGTGCCTGCTCCAACAGGAGCAATGCAGAGCAAGGAACTATGTGATCTCTGAGATGAGAGATGGATGGGTAAGAAAGGAGCACTACAAGGAAGAAACATGCTGTTTAGCCTGGGGAGGGTGGAGGACCTGGGCCCAGGATCCCTTACACTTGGTGGGTGTTTTTGCGTTGTGGCTTGCCAACTTGTGACCCCAGCCTGATCTGCACCTCTGAGCAACACTTCTCACTCTGCTGTGGACTCATCTGTGGTGAACGGAGAGAAAAAGGGAAAAATAATGCTTGACAAGGAAGTGTATCAATGTCATATGATGTTTAGCTTTCCAGCTTCAGTTTACAGACATTCCCACACAAAATTTGGAAGTACCAACCCTAATATGCTGCTGCCCCATCCCTCTTCAACCATGTAGGACATGGTGCCAACCCCCAGTGTGAAAGCCAGGCTCTGGAGCAGGGACACCCCATCATGTTCCTACCATGCATGGCTGCAGTACCTGCAGGGATGGTGGCATCTCACCAGGCAGCTCTGCCACTGCTCTGTCCCTATAAGCAAAGAGCACAGGGGTCACAATGGGAAATGCATCCTCTGCACTGCCTCCATCCCTGCCCCCAGGTCATCACTAGCTCCAGAAGTAGTGATGGGCTTTGGTCTAGCCAGGAGGGGGACAACAAAACCCACCACTGGCCCTAGCACCAGTGCTGGTTGGGGTCCTCCTGGGTGAAGGTTGCCCTGGGACTACCTTCAAAGGACGTTCAGTGCATAATGCTGATAGTCCTGTTTTTTTGTTTTGTTTTGTTTTTTTGGTTTGTTTGTTTGTTGTATTCCCCCCTCCAATACTTTGCACACCAAGCCACTATTCATCCATACCATCCAGACGACTGCCTCCCCAACTGAAGCAAAATGATGGCTGAGCACCATCACAACTCACATCCCATCTGCTTCAAACCCCAGGAGGAAACCAGGTATGAGCAGGACGAGATGCTGGTCCCTCAGCTACTCACTGCAGCTCCTCCATGTGCTCTTGAGCTACCGCGGCCCTTGTGGTCCACAGATACCCATGGGTCTGCTGCAGTTGCAGGTTGATGTGCTGCAGCTGCTCCTCCAGCACCCGGTTGCTCTCTTCCAGCTGCTGCTTTTCAGTGCTGGCAGTTTGCTGCATGCTGAGGAGGCTGTGGCACCGTGTCTCCAGCTGCAGGATGACAACCATGACACTCACACCCAGCTGGGACCCCTTGGCCCAACATGAAAAACAATGGATCACCATCTCTAAATGGTGGATCACCATATCCTCTAGACCTGAGGCTGGATTTCCCCCAGGGTGTCAGGTGGAAAACTCAAATTGGATGCTCCCAGGGAAGGAGAGGAAGGGGATGAGGGTGGCAGAGGCGAGGTGATGGAGGTCCTATGTGGTAACTTGCATCAAGGGCTGGTAGGGACTGTCCAGGATCAGGTGTACACCACCATGCCAAAGGTAAAGGCACAGCTCAAAGTTCTGCATTGCAATGGGGACCAGGATTTGGGATCATCTTACCTCTACCTGTGCTGTGACCAAGCGCTGCACCTCCTTTTCACTGGCATCCAGGACTCGCTGCAGCTCCATGCCATGCAAGTGGCTTCGGGCCATGCTCTGGAATGGCAATAGGAACATTGGCACCCACCCATCCATCTAGGTTTGGGGGCACTAGGTCCACCCAGAGTGGATGACTGGAGGGGATGAGCAGCTAATAAACCCACCTCCTGCTCCAGCCGCTGCTGCTCCTGCTGGATCTGTTGCTCCATGGCTGCACAGAGCTGCTGCACCTCCAGGTTGTGCTCAGCCACACATCTGGTAGGGACAGCAGGGTTGAGGAGTCATGGGGGATTCAGACCTCATCAAAAAGGGTGCAGGTCTGGGGACCCCGTGTTGCCCATGCAACCTGCAGACTGCAGCCATGGCTGCCTGGAGGCATTCACCCAGCAAGGATGTTTCCAGGAGTCTGACACTTTTGCTGTCCTGTGAGTGACTGTAGAGGGAGCTCAATCCCAAACATCGGAATCAAGGAAAACCTCAGCTCCATTCACTGCTGGATGCCTCCTTGGGTGCATCTCTATGGCTGGGGTGAGCAGGAGCCCCATCCTTCCTGTCCCTGTTCCCCTCCTTGTCCCTCTCTGATGTCATGGGGTGACTCACTTGTTCAGGGTCACCTCCAAGACCTCCTTCTTGCTCCTGGCTTCTTGAATGCGGTGCCTCATCTTGGCCAAGAAGTCCTCCAGGTTGCCCAGGAGCTGTGGCTCATCCTTCCGGAGCTTGGCCCAGAGTTGCCAGATCTCCCACCTGCTGAGAGAGAGGTCTTTGGCAGCAAACATCCCCCAATGCCCTGCCAGTTCTGGCGTCTCATATCATTTAGCCCATGCTGCTGGGGACATGTGGTCCTGACAGTGGCCATGATCCTGTCCCCTGCTCCTGCACCTGGGAAAGAAGTGCTTGCAGCCTGTAGGGGGACCAAACTGGGGGAAAATCCTTCCCTGTTCCAACCTCAGGCAGCTCTGCCCCATCCTGCAGGACACCCATAGGTGCTAAGCCAGGCTGCTCACTCTTCAGAGATGTCATCTGTGCCCAGCTGGTCCATGAATGCTGCAAAGTGTTTCTGCTCCTCACTGTCCACCCCCTCCAACAAAGGGCTGGCAAAGACTGAGTTCCTCCAGGATCCTGTTTTCCGCTGGCGATGGTCCCTGCTGGCCTTTTGGGAGCTCAGGAACTGCCCTGTCAAAACACAGCCCGAACCCTCAGTGCCCAACCCAAATCCTGGCATTCACCATCCCAGCACTTCTCCGAGCTGCTCCAGTGCACTTGAACCCAGTGAGCCATGGGCTCAGAGCCCATCTGCAGGGCTGCTTTTGGGCCACTGTGTGCCACCCAGAACAGGGAGTGTTGCAGATCCCTCTTGGAAAGGGGGCACTGGGGTGGGACCAGGATGCTTGGAGACACTGTGTTGGTACTTACAGAGCCCGGCAACAAACTCCTCAGTGTTCAACTGCCCGGTGCCAGCAGCATCCAGCCCATCAAAGAGGAGCTCCAGCTCCTCTGTGCTGCATGGGAAATTCTTCTCCTGCAACTTCTAGGAATAAAGGAAATTAGGAAAAAAAAAAAAAACATCCAGTCATCAGGATCCCAGTGGTCCCATCCTTTACCTGCATGTCTGAGCGAGTGATGAACCCTGTCTGGTCCTTGTGGTGCCCATGGATGAAGTCCTGCACCTTCTGCATGACTTTAGATGCCCACAGTGGCTCTTCGCTGGGACCAGAATCCTTGCAGAGCTGCCTGCGACGGCTGGAGCCCATGCGCCGGCCCTTGGCACCTGCCCGGTGTTCAGCCATGGCTCACAGCTGGGTACTGCAGAGGGGGAACCAGTGATTACTGAGCCTCACCAGTGAGTGCTGAGCCTCAGAGATTCATTTTAACTGGTGGAAACAGCCCTGAGTGGCTGGCAGGTTTGGCAATAGGAAGAGAGGTACTTATCTCCGGTTGCACAGAGCAAATGTGGCCTCAGCCAACAGCAACAGCCATCCCCACCAGCCAGGCTTTGAGCCCAGCACCCAACAGGCACACAGCTTCTGCCCTGCTCAGGCTGCCCGGGCTACAGGGGACATGCAGGGCAGCATCCAGGGCTGAAGGCCACCTGGGAGGTGCCATAGCCCTCAGCAGAGGACCAGCTGGGGTGATGCTCAGTCTGAGCAAAGCTGAGTGGCTCCACCTGTTTTGTGGGAGCTCATCAGCATCTTTTAAAATTCCTCTCCCCAGCTTTCACAGCTGTGAGTCATCCCTGAGCAGAGTCGCATGCAGCCTTGGGAAGGTTTCCACTTGTGCCCATACATTCTCCCCTGGTTCAACCCTCCCATCCTTGGTGCCTCACAGCATCACCAAATTCTGACCAAAAGCTGGCCAGGGTAGGAGCCTGTCTTTGTGCTCTGCCTGGGGAAACCCCCTGCTGCTCCATCCCTTGGCTTCTTTCCTTTTGCAATATGAAACAGCAATTTTGCTAAGTCCTAAGGTGCACCGGAAATGCAGGAATAGGCCCCCAAAATGTCCACATCCTCTTCAACTGTTGTGCAGCACCCACAAGCACCATCCCACAGCATCATGAAGACATAAGAGCGTCCTGCAAAGTCACTGGGGTCCCACAGGGAACCCAGCAAGGTGGGGGCAGAATCTGGGTACCTTGTTTTGTGATCCCAGCCTCTAAGACAGCAGAAGCAACATTTTTTGGGGGGAAACAGCCGAAGGTGGTGGAAAAATCCCTAGCTACCTGCCCCATCACCACAGACAGCTGAGCCTGCTGCACACCATGAAACAGGGACACAGAACAAGGAAAAGATGAAAAAAAAAAAAAGAATTTAAACACTGAAGTCTGTCTGAGAGTCTGAGATATTTCCTGCTGACGGGCATCCATAGGGTCATCACTGCCAAAATTTGGCAGCTGCACAGCCAGGAGTAACAGAGGGCCGAAATCTAAACTGTAAGTCACTAACACTAGCAAAAATATTTTTTCTTTGCTTTTCTATTATTTAAGGTGATGCATGAGCCACCTTTAGAGCAAAACTTACCTTTTCTGCGTGCTGAAAGGTATCCTGAGCTTCAGGGCACTGTCTGGCTGTGCTGTGAGGTTCCCCGAGGTCAGAGGGATATCAGCCCCACACCAAGGGCATTGCTGCTGCACACCCGCCTGCCCCACGCCCAAGCTGTCATTTTCTCTTACTCAAGGCAGCTTTCCGTTTTTGGGTTGCACTCAACTACCGGTGCACACACATTTCCTGTTTGCTGTGCTGCAAGCAAGTATGCAAAGAGCCTGCCTGAGGGGGTCACTGGACACCCTAAAACTGTCCTGAACCTACAATAGCATCTGCAGCAGCATCTCCACCACCACTTCTAAGAACAGCAGAAGTCCCTGTCCTCTCCTCATTTGCAGCATCTGGCCAAGGATGGAACGTGTCTGGGGCAAGGGAGGGAGAAATGCATCAGAGAAACAACAAACATTAGTTCAAAAGGCCAAATAACTCAATCTACTAAGCTACGTAAAAGACTACTGGATTATAACATCCCAGTGATGAAGGAGCAAACCTGCAAAAATCCCCTTGTAGGATTTGGCTTTGGCCCCAGGATTTGGAGAAATCACCCCTATGCTGCTTGTACCAGTCTTTTCCAGGGGATGCTGCTGGAATTACTGACACCACGTACAGCCAGTATTGAGAAAGTACTTGCCGACTCAGCTGCCTGAAACCATTCTGGTTTGCAGCAGGATGAGGGAATAAATGGGTTGCACTCATTTTTGTTCAGCTTTATCTGCAAAATGAGAAGACATCCCAAGAAAAAGCTTAAAGAACAACAAAGGGAAATGTCAGTTATTATCTTTAAATTATAACTAGAATTTACATCCAGCTACTGGCCCCACAGAGGACTGCTTCATTACATGGGCACAGGCTGTGACTGCTCTGGTTTTCCTTTCCAAAGGCAAAGCCTGTGCCCATAACCCCAGATTGCATTAACACAGCCTCCCCCCAGACACAGGCTGGGTTGTTTGGAGAGCACCCCAATCTCACGTTGATCTCTAATTCTTGCAGCCCCTGTGGCCATTTGCCACTGCACAGAGAAGGCTGCATTTCAGCTTTGCTTTCCTTGGGGATGATTTTTTGGGGAGAACCCTAAATATCTCCAAACAGCAGCACTTACAATGGAATGGCTTGCAAGGCAGGGAGGGGGAGGTGGGGCTGACCAACTGCAGAATCCTTCTGCAGAACCCTTCAGCAGCTCTAGGGCAGCACAAACCTGCAGCAGCCATAGCACTCTTTGGCCCTGAGAAGACCCCAGGAAGGGACTGGTCAAAGGGGATTTAACGCCATATTAGGAACATGAGGGGTTAGTGCCTGAGCCACTCCCCAGTCAGGGCTGGGGTCTCACAGGGCAGCACAAACATCATATCCAGGACTACAGGAGCCAGGTCCTGGCTGTCTCCAGAGCCCCATAAACAGTGCTGGGGGATGTTCAGCTGCAGATTTACTTCTCCCTTCTTCAACCATCACTGCTGTTGGCAAAGGTGAGGTGACAGCAGAGGGGAACAGCTGGCAACAGCCAAAGGGGCTGGAAGGACTGACTTAAAGGGAAAATATTAAAAGGGCTTGAGACAGCAACAGCTAAAAGACTGCACAATGATAACACTCCACAAGAATTTCAAGGGGGCTTCTGGGTATGTGGAAGCAGAGGCATGACATAGATAGCAGAATAGCAGAGGTCCCCACACATGTGGCAGCAGCTTCTGCTGAGGACACTGGGGGAGCACCACAGTGCTAATTCCACACCCAATTCCACAATTGGGCAGGGTTAAGTGGACTGTTTGGGGTGAGGTTTCACCCCACCACCACCCTTGAACAACTCCCATCTCATGGCTTCAATGTTTCAAGCCAAGATATCATCCAGTGCTATGACAGCCCCTCCCCACCTGGCTCCACATAAAGCACAGCTCCATGGTTGCTGAAGCTTCCATCCCTGCTCCCAGACAGACCAAAGGCAGGCACAGCCCACAGTGCAGGGTTGCATCCCTAAAGTAGTCCCCAGCCCATCCTACCAGGCAGGTACCTAGTCACCTCCCCCCACAGACCCTGCTCCCAGCTCACCACAAAGCATAGTTATTTCCATTAATCCACAGCCACTGATTTCCTTACGCAAGACATGTATTTATTCAGTTACATTTATAGACAAACAGGTATTTCCCATCCCCCAGGCAGCCTTAATAGCATTTTTATAAATAAACATTTAGTGCTGGGAGCTTGTCAGCTTCTTCAACAGCAAAGTGCACCATGGTACAAGGTGGGAGGTGGACCCCATCCCTACTCCACCTGGGACCATCTTGCACCAGTTTCCAGAGTCCAAATGCAGCAGGGCAGGAGATGAACCCAGTGAAAGTGCTGAGACCTGGCAGCACTGAGTCCCTCAAGAGCAAGGACATGTCCTGCAGCACCATGTGGCACTGCCAGGACATCCCCGCATCCCAGAGACAACAGAAGCTGCTCACTCTGCAGTCAGGCAAGGGCAAGGGCTCCCCCAGCTCCTTAATAGAAAAAAAGTTCAGGAAAAGGCTAAAACTTCTCTCAGCTTCATCCTCACAAGCAAGACTCCATCCCTCAAGCAGTCTTACAGTGCCAGAGCAGCAGCTCTCCAGCCTAGTGTCAGCATTGAATGAGGCACAACAGGAGGGCAAACAGCACCACTCAAGCCAACAACATGAGGAAATGTGGGTTTGGGTCAGAGTTCAGGGCAACCCAAAGTCTTTCAGGCATTGCTGGCCCCACAGGGGCTGTGCTGAGGACCTCCAGCACATCACCACTTTGGTGTCCATTGATAGCATCATGGAGCCACTCAGAGGAAGGGCTGTCCAGGTACCAGCACTTCCTTTCTGGGGGAAGGAGCAGCCCCCAGCATTGCTGTGCTTCCCCTTGTGGTAGAAGGCTCACCAAGACACGTCCATCCTGCTGTGCCAGCACCACATGCCAGTGATGCTGTGTACTCTGTGCCAGGCTGTCCCACTGCTCTGCAATCCATATTGGTGACCTTGATGAATTCTAGTGCCACAGAGCTGGCACGTCTTCCGTAGCTGGCCATCAGACAGGGAAGAACCATGGTTGGACAGCAGGATAGTGCAAAAATGGTGCAAGGACAGTGCTTGGTCCTACCAACACAGGACAGAGGATAGACTTGGACAGTCCCATGTGCCCCCCTTTCAGTCCTCTTCAATCCCTTTGGCAGGGCTGCAATCTTCAACATGGGCTCCTACTCTTCTTTACACATTGCACACAGTGAAGGTCTCTCAGGACCCCAGAGGGACTCATAAATAGGGAACTACAGACTAAACATTGCTTGATACACACAACTTACACAGTACAGCGTAGGGGAAAGAGCCAGAGATACCCCCAGAGCACATCAGCATCTGTCCCAGATAGTAGCAGTCACAGCCTGGGCTTGTCACGGACAACCCTTCGCTTGGAGCTGTAGAAGTCTGGAGGGCAGGAAAAGATGGTTAAAAAATGCCTCCAGCCCATCACAAGCAGCAGAAGCTTCCCATGTCAGCACCCCAAAACCTAGCCCAGGGATGCTTCATCTTAGAGCCACCTATCAAAGGCATGAGTTCCAGGAGAGAATAGCCTCCACCATCTCTTCTCCCAGGAGTGATTGTTCTGAACTGTATTTTCACCCTGATCCTGAGGACAGGCTCAGGTCATGGGAACTGAAGCTGATGAACTGTCCTGGGTCATTTTGAGTCACAAGAACTCCAACCCTGGTGTGAACTCACTGCCCACCCCTCAGCAATCAAAGGAACCCCAGTCTGCAGCCTTTCCCCTTGGAAGACAGGTTCCACTTCCCCAGGAAAGTGGAATGAAGATCCCATGGCCAGGAGTCAGACAAGGCTCTTGCACCTAATCCCCTCCACCCATCCCTACCAGGGTGGTCATGACACCAGCAATGACACTGAGTACACAGGAGGACACCAAAACTCACCTTTAATGGTGGCCTGCCCACGTTTCAAGTGTTGTGGAGAACCAGCCCTGCCAAACTCTGAGCTTTGCTGAGACGCCTCAGCATGAGACCCACCAAGATGGTCCTTAGATGGGACCTTGTGAGCCAAGGAGCTCCTGCACTCACTGTTGGTGGCCTTGCCAAGGTTGAGGATCTCCTGGGAAGGCTGCTCAGCCAGGAGTACCCTCTCCCACTTGAAGTGTCCTTCCAATGGTGTCTCTGTCTCAAAGTTGAAGTTCCAGCGGTGCCGAGCTTCTTCCAGGTGTTGCCTCAACAGATCTTCAAAGTCATTCTGAAGCTGGTCGTGGTCCACAGGGCCAAAGAGGTTCCTGCACACCTTGCTACTGCATGGCACCTGCCCAGCCCTGCTCTGTGACAGGGGCATCGTGGCAGCTGGGAGGAAAGCAGAACAGGTTAGAGGGTGTTGGGTGAGCCATAAGCAAGCCCAAGGGCTGACACATCTACTGCCAGGGCAAAGCAGCCTGCAGCCAGGGTGGGATTTGCTGGGCAGCAAAACAGCCTAGAGTGGAGTCCCTATCTGCCAACACTCGTTCTGGGCTTTTAGTGGTGTCTTGGTCATAAGCTCAAACATAACTGAAGTCAAACACAACCTGGAGTGATTCAGAGAGATGGGGAATTGTGCAAGTGTTGTCATTCCCCATTCCTCTTCCAGCAGGTGAAGCACTGCCATGGCAGAGCATCCAGCACCTCAGTCTAAAATCCCACCACATTCCCATTTCCATACAGGCACAAAGACTCAGGCAGGCACACATGCAAGTGAAGCAACTGGATGTTTTTCTGGCTAGTCTCTTCATCTCAAAAACCCAGGCTCAGTGGCAAGGAAGCCTTTTAAGCAGCTGCAAGAACATGCTGCAAGTTTGATCACTTTTAACCAATTTGTCAACTCTAAGAAGCTGTTGGGTAACCAGGGTTGGGTAAACTGTTTGTTTTTTCCAAATTAATGCTAACAGCCTTGACCTTCAAGGTAAGTGGCAAAGGCTTCCTTTCCAAGCAGCCCTCCCCTGACACATGTGTGGGGCTAATGGATCCCCTGCACCACCCCCTATTGTGAGATCAGCTTTGTTATCATAGCAAAACCAACACCACTCTGGGATTAACGGCTTTTGGAACTCAATCCCACTTTGGCAGCTGTGCTCACTAAATCTGGTTGAAAAAGGATTCACAAACACACAAAAATCCCTTCATGCAAGACAGCTTTGCCATTTCTCACCCCACCTGAGATCCCTAAAGCCAGGACCCCAATAGACCCCCAGACATGCACCCTTCCAGACTTCCCCCAGGATAAGGGGTGAGCCTCCTGTCCCCAGCCCCAGCAGCTGGGAAGGTCTAGGGAAGATCTGTCCTAGCCCAGGTCCCCACCACACATCACCACCCATGCAGCCGGCTCAGCACACCCAGGGGCTGCCGGAGGGCCCCCAGACGGGGTCGCCCCGACCCTCTGCCCCGCTCCCACCCCACAGCGAGCATCCCCGAGGAAAAACAGAAACGCAGCTTCCTATCCGCTGGCAGCCACAGCGCGAGCAGGGTGACCTCATCGCGAGGCAAGTCCCAGCATGCCCGGGCAAGCCCCGGCAGGTACAGGGCATGGGACACGTTCCGACACCCGGCCCGGCCACCCTCAGCCCTGCCCGCCTCCGCCACGCCCCGAGGTCCCCATCCTCCAGCCGCCGCGGGGGCCCGGGTGCCACCATGCAGCTTCGGCCTGAGTCACGGCTGCGGGCGGCCGAACGCGGAAGGACCGGGGCCAGGTCGCCGTCCCCTCCCACGGGGGTGGCTCCGCTCCGCAGCCTCCCCAGCTCCACGGGCCGGGCCGGCAGGTGATGCGGGCGCACGGTCGGACCTCGT